CTGAGCTGTGAGAGCCGGGATGTTGGCTGGCTGCCAGGCGGCCCGCCCTGCCCTGTGCACCGAGCCAGGCCACCTCTGCACGGCCAGGTGCTTCCCAGGCAGGGTGGGGGCACAGCTCCTCTTCCCTTCTGTGCTAAATGGAAGGCAAAATCTGGGGGAGGGGGGGCGGAGGGCCACAGGCCCCCTGCCTGTCCCCCCATGTGATGCCTCTGGGGGGCGCAAATATGTTTGCTCACCACAGATGCTAAAATGCCTAGTTCTGGCTCTGGGACCCCGGCATCCGGCATGGCAGCGCAGGGTGCTCGCTTTAGGGGGCAGCCTGTACCTACCTGTCTTCCCCGTGTTTTCCATGGAGATAAGCTTCCTGGCATCCCCATAGCCAGCGAGGGATATAGCCCCCAGGTGGGGATTGTGGACAGCCGCAGGGGTGACGATGTTGATCGGGGACTGCCTGGTGCCGTTACAGTGCCCCAGAGCTGCCCATGTCTCTGGACCTGCCGAGAGGGGAGGAGCCAACAGGGAGCGGGAAGGAAGGAAATGGAGCAGGAGTCAGAATGTTAATCAGCTGCTGTCACCCACCCCAGAGGTGGCTGCATGATGCAAATTTTAGTCCCGGATGTAGGATTCCTGGGTTCTGTCCCTGACTCTGGCAGGGGAGTGGGCTCTGGTGGCAGGGCTGCCCAGAGGATTCAGGGGGCCCAGGGCATAGCAATTTCAGGGGCCCCTTCCATAAAAAAAAGTTGCAATATTATAGAATACTATATTCTCGTGGTGGCTCCTCCGGGGCCGGGGGCCTGGGGCAAATTGACCCACTTGCCCCCCCCTCTGGGTGGCCCTGTCTGGTGGGATAAAGTGGGGGAACTGGGAGTCAGGACTCCTGGGTTCTTTCTGCAACTAGGGCCGGGGAATGCTGTCTAGTGCAGGGGTCGGCAACCTTTCAGAAGTGGTGTGCCGAGTCTTCATTTATTCACTCTAATTTAAGGTTCCGCATGCCAGTCATACATTTTAACGTTTTAGAAGGTCTCTTTCTATAAGTCTATAATATATAACTAAACTATTTTGTTGTATGTAAAGTAAATAAGGTTTTTAAAATGTTTAAGAAGCTTCATTTAAAATTAAAATAAAATGCAGAGCCCCCCAGACCGGTGGCCAGGACCCGGGCAGTGTGAGTGCCACTGAAAATCAGCTCGCATGCCGCCTTCGGCACACGTGCCATAGGTTGCCTACCTCTGGTCTAGTGAGTTAGAGCAGGGGAGGCTCTTGGGTTTTATACACAGCTCTCGGAGGGGGTTGGAGTCTTGTGGTTTGGAGCAGGGGGGTGGGGCTGGGAGTGAGGACTCCGGGGTTCTATCCCTGGCTCTGGAACGCTGACCTGTCCCGTCTCTGTGCCTCAGTTTCCCACCCATCCAAATGTGGGAAAACTGTAATTAACTCCCGCACTGGGTGAGGTCAGAGAGTGGATGTCTGTGTCGCAGGGGATGGATGGATTCTCTTACCACATTTTGGGTCTTCGTAGCACCAGGTATCTGCAGGAGAGAGAGAGGTGGGGGAGGGGGTCAGAGTTGGGAGGTGGCCAATAAATCACCACATCCTGCTGCCCCCCCCCCTTGGGCTTGGCCCCAGCAGGGAGGGTCACTTTAGAGCAGGATCAGGGGCCGGATGGGGAGCAGCGTTACCTGCCGTATCGGTACTGGTGTAGCCGGCTCCCAGCAGCGTCCCCAGGACAATGAGGTGCGGGACCCAGGCGAGATTCATGTCTCCGATGTCACCTGCTGAGAGCAACCTGGAGGAAGGATTGGAGAGACTGGATTCAACTCCCCTGCCCTGAGCCAGCCAGGCCCCACTCTGGGGCCAGATCGGAGCCGGTGCCCTAGAGGGGACGGGCCCCATGCCCCATTTCCCACTCCTGGGCCAGTGGCGCCCCTAGAGGGAATGGGCCCCATGCCCCATTTCCCACTCCCGGGCCAGTGGCGCCCCTACAGGGGACGGGCCCCATGCTCCATTTCCCACACCTAGGGCTAGTAGCGCCCCTGGGGGAGACAGGCCACATGCCCCATTTCCCACCCCGGAAGCTGGTGCCCCTAGATGGGACGGACCCCTAGGGATGCTCAGCAGCGAGCAGCTCTCACCTGTGCTGTTCCTGGTGGAGGAAGGTCACACTGCAGGGGTGAAGGCTCCTCGCAGCTCCTTATATACACGGGGTCACCGCCCAGCCCAGCCCTGCCCAGCCCAGCCCAGCCCAGAGCGGCCGGGGGTGGAATTACAGGGAAGGGATGAGTTATATCCACGGGGTGGGGCAGGGATAGAGAGAGGTCGGGGAGGGAGGGAGAGAGAAAACCAGGGAGCAGAAAGAGAAAGGAGGGAAGGAAAGAGGGGGACGGTGGGAAAGAGGAGAAAGGGGCCCCAGCCTGGGTGTGTCTCCCTTAGGGCACCAGCCCCCGGTGCCAGGTCCACCCTCTGGGAAGCTGTGGGCACCCCCTGTGCGGGGAGCTGGCCCCAGATGCCCATTTTGAGTCTCGCTCTTCTTGGAAGGGCTGTGCGGGGGAGATGGCGCAAGAAGGAAGTGACACAGGGCAGCCCAGCGTGGGGCAGAGCACGTCCCCCGCTGCTGGAAGGACACCTCGGGGTGAGCGGATGTCCCTGAACCACTGTCCAGTGTTGCCCGCCTGGGGCTGGGGTTGAAACCCAGGACAGGAGTCCCCCCTGCTCTAAGCCACTAGATCCCACTCCCCTGTCAGAGCTGAGGACAGAACCCAGGCATCCTGGCTCTCAGCCCCCACCCCTAAATTATTAGACTAGATTTTTGCCACCCTCAGCTATTGGCACTCAGAGGATAGAGAGCGCCCCCTATTGAGCCCCTCCCACTCCACTCCCTGCACCACAGCACCCCCTAGTGCTGCACTGGGCCTTTGGGCCAGCCCCCTCTACTGAACAGCCAGGTGTGTTCATAGCCCCCCAAGGGGGTTCGGCAGCTGGTGGTTGGGCAAGGCGAAGATGCTGATGTCATCTCCTGTCACCCCATGATACCCTGATCTGTTTCCCCATCTGCTGAAACTCAAGCTGGGCGGATGGAGCAACTGTGCTTCCTGGGTTTACAGCTTCTCATTCCCAACGCTACCGGCTGGGACTGACTCACAACAGTGTCGGGCTGGTGTCGTTTGTACACCCTGCTCGACAGGTGGGGAATACCCACAGGTCTCCCGGAGCCAGAAGACTTCCTTGATCCCCTCAGCTGGGGCTAGAACCCAGGAGTCCTCACTCACAACCTCCCATCTCACCTACTAGACCCCACTCCCCTCCCAGAGCCAGGGAGAGAACCAGGTATCCTGGTCCCAGGACGGGGTGCAAGAAGGGTCAAAGTTGGTCTCTCTCCCGCACCCCTGCCCTGACTGGTTCTCTAGCCTGGAGACGTGGCGTCGCTGGGACTCTCTGGAAACAGGGCAGGAGGGCGAGGCCAGATCATTTTGGTGACACGCCACGGCCCCAACCAAGGGTTTTAAATTCGCAAGGTTGGCTGCTTCCCCACTGTGACCTGTACTGACCATGACAGTCATGAATGGGGGGCAGGGTCTAGTGGGTTAGTGTAGTGAGTGGGATGGGGGAGGGCAGGGAGTCAGGACTCCTGGGTTCTCCTCAGAGCTCTGGATGGGGAGTGGGGTCCAATGAGTTAAACCAGGGAGTCTGGACTCAGGGCCAGTTGGGGTTGGGGGGGCTCAGATCTCAAAGGCATGTGGGGACAGGGGACAGAGGACTCTCTCTCTTTGTCTGTAGCATCCACAAGTCTGACTGGGAACCAGTTTGGATAACTGGGCCAGCTTGTGGGAACTGGTCTGTGCTGTACCCAGAGGGAAGTGTCTTCCTCTCCTAGCTGGGAGCCTATAAACAGGCAGCTGCTGACAGTGTAAACTCTGCTGCGCTTCACCCCAACAGGCCTGGGGGTGGTGCAGACAGAGGTCATGCTGTCCTTGCTTATAACCCCCGTCTCTCTCCAGGGGCCCAGCGCCCCTGAGGGGTTAGCGCCCTCGGGGAGAAGAGATGATAGGGATGGGGTCTAGTGGTTTGGAGGGGGCATGGGAGCCACGACTCCTGGGTTCTATCCCTGGTTCTGGCAGGGGAGTGGGGTCTATTGGGCACCTGCAGGGGGTTAGGCCAGATGACGCTTACAGTCCCTTCTAACCCTATGAGTCTATGATCATACCCTGGGGCAGTGGGTTCCCGTCTTCTCTGCGGTTCCTCCCAACTCCCTGATGCAATGCTAGGGGAACTGGTGCCAAACAGGAGCTTAGGGTGCAGCTGCCCCGCCCCCCCCAACCTGTGGGCCCCACACCCAGTGCGTGTGGTGCTGATGCCTAGCTGGGCTTTCAGCCCTGCCTATGGTAAGTTTGCTCCCCACTGCAGTCGGGCATCTTCTCCTGGTGTTGCATGTAGGGAAAGTGAGGCACCGACAGGGGAAGGGAGTCAGTGAGTCAGCCGGTCAGCCAATGACAGAATCCAAGAGTCCTGGCTCCCACACCCCCTCGAACCCACTCCCCAGGCTGCCTAGAGCCGGGGACAGGACCCAGGAGTGCTGGCTCCTGGATTAAAGTTAGCATCATGCAGCCAGCTCTAGGGGGGGTGACAGCAGCTATTTAACATTCTGACCCCGCCCACTGGTTCTCTGTGGCTCCTCCCCCTCCCTGTTGACTCCTCCCCACTCGTCAGCGCCAGGTAGATGGGAGACCCCAGGGCAGTGTAACAGCCCCCGCACGCACTCCCCCAGCTGAGGTGAGCATTGCTCTCTGCCCCGCCCCCCGCCGGCGCTATGCCTTCTGGGAGCTGTAGTCCTTTCCCTTTAGCTCCAGTGGGCAGCAGAACTGCAGCCCCCACAATGCATCGCGCTCTCCCCGCGCCGGCGCCGCCCCTCATGGGAGTTGTAGTTCCTCCGGTCGCCTTTAGCGCAGTCCCTGGGGGGGCCCGAACTACAATTCCCACAATGCCCCGGGGCCGGACCCCGTTCAAGGCTCCCCCTTTCCCCGTTGCTCTTGCCCTTGGGCCTCTCCCGCGATGGCCGCCGCAGCCGGGGGGAGCTGCCCCGCCGAGTCGCTGGGCTATTGCCTGGCCCAGCTGCGGGGCGGGGCCGAGCCCGCGCTGGGCCGGGCCCTGCTGGCCCTGCGGACCCGGCACATCAAGCAGCCCGGCGGGATCGAGCGGTTCCGGGCCCGCGGGGGGCTGGGGCCCCTGCTGGGGCTCCTGGCTGGGGCCCTCCGGCCCCGCCGCACCCTCGACCTGGCCCTCAGCATCCTGGGCAACTGCTGCACCGAGGGGGGGAGCCGGGCCCAGGTGCGGGAGCTGGGGGGGATCCCCTCGCTGGGTGAGTGACGCGGCGGGGAATCCCCGACGCGAAATGGTACGGTCCGGGGCCATCTGCCAGGCCTGGGGGTGAAGCCTGGGTCTTCCCCCCCCCCCCCGAGCCAGAGTGGCACAGTCCAGGGTTACCCTGCTCTGGGTTTCCCTGAGCCAGAGTGGCACAGTCCAGGGTTACCCTGCTCTGGGTTTCCCTGAGCCAGAGTAGTACAGTCTGCGGTTACACTATTCTGCCAGGCCTGGGGGTGAAGCCTGGGTTGTCCCCCTTAGCCGAAATGGTACTGTCTGTGGTCCCTTTGAGATGTAGTGGTATGGTCTGGGGTTACCCTGCAATGGCCAGGCCTCTGAGGCCGGGCCAAAGTGGTACAGTCTGCGTTCTCCTTGAACTTGTTAGCCTGGAGGTGCAGCTTAAATCCCACCGAGCTGAAATGGGACTGTCCAGGGTGCCCCCTCCCCCCCCCCCCCCAAAGTGGCATGTTTCAGGATTCTCTGCACCTGCCAGGCTGGAGTTGAGTGTGATGTTCCCTGCCGAGCCCCCATGGCACAATCCAGGGTTACCCTGCACCTGTCTGGCCTGGGAGTTAGCATCTGGGGCCCCTGTACTCCCCCATTGTGGAATTTGCCCCCCCCCCATTTGTGCCGCAATAGTGCTATGCCTTGATTTCTCCCTTCCCTGGGTATGGTGTGGCTTGGCGTTCCCCCCGTGCATGCATGCGTCCCCATTGGTGGTACGGTCCTGTGCCCCCTCCATCTCTCCTTGGGGTGGAACTACATTGTGTTCTCATGTCCCCCTACTCCACCCCAGAGGCGGCTACATCTCAGCACCGGACAAGGGATCACTGTATAAACAGCCCCCCGTGTTCCACCCCAGAGGTGGCTGCATCTCATTACTGGACGAGAGATCCCTGGATAAACAGCCCCTGTGATGCACCCCAGAGATGGCTACATCTCAGTTCTGTGCGAGGGATGATGCCCTCACCATGGTTCACAGATGATTTCTCTCCCCAGTTATGATCCTGAAATCCCTTGGAGTCGAAAGTATCCACAACCGGACAGCACGGGCCCTGGGCAACCTGGCCATTGATGTAGAGAACCTGCAGGCTATCCATGATGCTGGTGAGTGGGGTCATGCCCCCCCTGCCAACCTGCGAAAGGAGGGTGGGGGAAGACTGGGAACTTGCCCCATAGTGGGGAGCCCCTCTGATCCTGCTAGCCGAAGGGTAGTACTGCAGCTCACCCCATACTGGGCATCCCCTGTGACCTGGGCTGGGATAATGGGAATCATTCCATACAGGGAGCTCCCCTCTGCTTCCTTGCATGGGGGTAATATTGGGGCTCACCCCCATACCAGGGAGTGCCCTGCTGACCTGGGGGATAATGGGGTTCACTCCTATATTGGGGAGCACCTTCTCTGATCCCTTGTGGGGTTCACCCCATACTAGAGAGGAGCCATGTTGGGGTTCACCTCCATACTGGGGAGTCCCCTGATGACCTGGGAGGGGGTGATTGAGGTTCATTCTCTGGGTTTGGGGCTCACTAACCCCCTTTCTCTCTTCCTCCCCCCCCCCCCAGGTGCAGTGGCACCCCTGGTACAAGTCCTTGCCAGCTCCCAGGACAGCGAGTGCCTCCAGAGCATCATTCGGGCCCTGCGCAACCTGGGCGCCACCCCAGCGCACCGTCTGGCGCTGGCCCAGCAGGGCGCAGTGCGAGTCATCTCCGAGCGCCTGGCTGCCAGCCCCGACGACCCCGCCCTGGCTGCTGCGGCTGCCCGGGCCCTGCTAGAGCTCACCAAGGGCTGCAGCCGGGACTGCGCCGAGCAGCTGAGCCTGGGGGGCGGGGTGGCGCCCCTGGTGGCGTTAGCCGGGCACAGCAAGCGGGCGGTGCGGGAGGCGGCCGTCTCGGCGCTGTCCAATCTCTGCCTGCAGGGGATGCTGCGGCCGGCAGTGGGCAATGCCGGGGGCGTGGCGGTGCTGGTTGGGGAGATCCAGCGCCGGCGCGGGGCGGGAGCCGCCGGCGCCATCCTGCAGCCCCTGGTCAGGGCGCTGTGCCTGCTGTGCCGGGAGGCAATGAACCGCAGCCGGGTGCGGGAGGCCGGCGGGCTAGAGCTGCTGCTGGCGCTGCTGCAGGATGGGCGCCAGCGAGGCTGCCACGCCCGCGTGGTTGTGGCCTTCGTGGCCTTCTTCTATGACCAGGAGGCGCTGGAGGTGCTGCAGGCCGGCGGGCTGGTGGCCCTGCTGGTGGAGCGGCTGGTGGCCCAGGGCCAGTGGGCTGCGCGCTGCGCGGAGGAGGACAAGGAAGAGGAGGGAGACAGCGAGGACGAGCGGGACGCTGCCTCCTTTGACTTCCCCCACGAGGGGCGACGGGAGAGCGGGGCACCAGAAGGGGAGTCATCCAGCTTCCAGAGACTCAGGTGAGCATCTCTCCCGGTGCACTTGGGGCTCGCTTGAGGGGTTCTCCTCCCCACTCCCTAGTGCTCCCTGCCGGCCCCGGGGCTCCCCTGGTTTCCCCGCCCCCTGCTTGCTCCAGTGCTCCTGGCTCACTAGCTCGTCTCCTTTCCCTGTTCTTGCTTGCTCTGGGCTCCCTTGGTTCCCCCTTCCTCCCTGCACTCAGGGCTTGCTTGACTCCCCCCCCCGGCTCTCACTCCTTCCCTCTTGCCGCAGGTCCTGGCTGCTCTCCGAGGGTTACATTGCCAGTCCCGGCGACCTCTCCCCGCAGTGGTCCCCCGACGGCTCCCTCAGCCCCACCCTCGAGCTGCAGGACGACACGCCGGGGCCTGGCCGGCTGCCTGCGGGGCTCGGCTTGCCCACCTGCTTAGCTCCTCCGTCGCTGGATCCGGCTGCCAGGGTGCAGTGCTTGGCACCCGTGGCAGAGCCGGACTCAACCGTGGCTGATGGGAGCCATGTGGCAGAGACGCCAGGTGCTGAGGCACCAGTCGTGGCACGTTTGGCTACAGCCAGAGCTGCCAGGCACCATCCAGCGGAGTTGGATCCAGGCACGGCACCAGATTTGGCTGCCAGGCACCATACGGCATTGCCAAATCCTGCCAGAACGGGTGACCACAGCGCAGCCCCCGTGGTGCTGCTGGCTACACCAAAGTCCACTGGGACCAAGAAAGACCATCCGGCACAGATTGCACCGGATGCTGCCGGCAGCGCTCGGAACCTGCAGGCTCAGTTGCTGCTGTCGGCGACCCCGAATGAGGAGCTCCCGCCAAACTTCGCTCTGACTGACCTGCAAAATCCAGCACGGTTCCCGGCTGCGGCAGCCACCGAAGAGTTGTGTCCAGGCATGCTGGTTCCAGCCGGGCCTGGCTGGCACGTCATGGCACCATCAGACGAGCCAGGCCCAGTGCTGGCACCGCCAATTCCCACCGGGGCAAGCCAGTCTGATCGGGCACCAAGCCCCGTTCCTGAGCATCTGGGTCCGGTGTCACCAATTCCCGCTGGGGCCAGCCGGTGTGATTGGGCACCAAGCCCCGTTCCTGAGCATCTGAATCCAGTGTCACCAATTCCCACCGGGGCCAGCCGATCTGATCGGGCACCAAGCCCCATTCCTGAGCATCTGCGTCTGGTGTCAGCAGTTCCCACTGGGGCCAGCCGGTGTGATCGGGCACCAAGCCCTGTTCCCGAGCATCTGAATCCAGTGTCACCAATTCCCACCGGGGCCAGCCGATCTCATCGGGAACCAACCCCAGTTCCTGAGCATCTGAATCCAGTGTCACCAATTCCCACCGGGGCCAGCCGATCTGATCGGGCACCAAGCCCCGTTCCTGAGCATCTGAATCCAGTGTCACCAATTCCCACTGGTGCCAGCAGATCTGATCGGGCACCAAGCCCCGTTCCTGAGCATCTGCGTCTGGTGTCAGCAGTTCCCACTGGGGCCAGCCGGTGTGATCGGGCACCAAGCCCTGTTCCCGAGCATCTGAATCCAGTGTCACCAATTCCCACCGGGGCCAGCCGATCTGATCGGAAACCAAGCCCCGTTCCTGAGCATCTGCGTCCGGTGTCACCAATTCCCACTGGGACCAGCCGGTCCGATCCGGCACCGAGCCCAATTTCCAAGGATCTACGTCTGGTTTCTCCGATTCCTACTGGGACTGAGCAGCGCCTCCTTGCCAATGACGTCCTGGAGCCCCAGCCCGCTGCTTTCTCCTCGCGGCGCCGCGGCAAATCACGTCCCCATCCAGACGCGGCCGCCTGCACGCCGGCTCCGTTCCGCCCCCCGGGCGAGGTCCTGGCCCCGCAGTTCTTGCTGTGGGGTGGGGAGGAGGAGCTATCGGCCCCCGAGGCGCCCGCCCTGTTGCTGCTCTCCCGCTTCTCCCAGGCCGAGGACCCCAGCCGCAGCCTGGTGACGGGCCCGGTGCTGCGGGGGCTGCTGGCCTACGTCACCGGAGCCCCCGCCCCGCTACCCCGCTGCCTGCGGCTGTTGCACCGGCTCACGTGCAACCCCGTCTGCCTGGAGGCCTTCGTGCGCTGCCACGCCCCCTCCCTGCTGCGGGCCTGGCTGGTGCTGGGCGTGCCCCCAGAGGAGGCCGCCGCCGTGGGACAAGAGACCCCCAGAACTCCAGGCAGCGGGCACCGGCATGGCAGGAGGTTCAAGGAGTTGGGTGAGTCCTCCCCCCTGCTGAGTCCTGGGGCATGGGGATCCCCCTGCTGCGCCCCAGGGGTAGGTGAGTGCCCCAGTCCTGGGCTGTGGGGATCACCCTGCTGCATTACGGGGCTCCCAGTATCCCAGTGTGAGAGCACTTTGTCCCCGGAGTATTGGGGTCCTCTCTCCGGTAGCCCTAACCCGGTGACGACCCTCCCCCACTACTGAGGGAACTGGGGTTTGCTCTAGGTCAGGGATTGGCAACCTTCAGCACACGGCCCCTCAGGGAAAGCCGCTGGCAGGCGGGGACGGTTTGTTTACCTGCAGCGTGCGCAGGTTCGGCCAATCGCGGCTCCCGCTGGCCATGGTTCGCCATGCCAGGCCAATGGGGGCTGCAGAAAGCCACAGCCAGCACCTCCATCGGCCCACGCCGCTTCCCGCAGCCCCCATTGGCCTGGCACAGCGAACCGCGGCCAGTGGGAGCCGTGATCGGCCGAACCTGCGGACGCTGCAGGTAAACAAACCGGCCCGGCCCGCCAGCCGCTTTCCCTGACGGGCCGCGTGCCGAAGGTTGCCGATCCCTGCTCTAGGTTAATGGGGTCTCCTGCTCCCCACCTCAGGGTGAGCCTTGTACTTCCGCTGCCGGGTTCAAAGTGCCCCAGCGTGGCACTAGGGGGAGCTGTGTGGCGGGGCTCGGCCAGGAATGCTGCATGGTGGGGGCTGGGCGCCATGGGGTGGGGGGGCTTTGGAGGGATGCTGTGCCTCAGGAGCGGTCATCCCATGGGGTGTTTTGAGGGGGGGCTCATGGGGCGGGGGGATGGGGGCTCTGTGTTGGGGGAGGGGCCGGGCACTGACGTGCTGCCCCTTCCCCAGGCGAGACCCTGCTGTGCAATCTCTGCGTCCAGGCTGAGTCGGCGTTCGGGGCGGGCGTCCTCACCCACATGCTGCTCTCGGGCGCCGAGGCCGACCAAGTGGCTTGTGCCATGGCCCTGCCCCTCATCTGCAGGTGGGTGGTGCCGGGGGGGGGGGGCGGCGGGGTGAGTGGTGGGTGGGCGCTGGTGTGGCTGGATGTGGTGGTATTGGGGGGGCTTAGGGGGCCAGTTGGGGAGGGGCGGGCCCTAGCTGGTGGAAGGAGGCTGTTCCGGGGGAGGTGGTGGGAATGGAGGTTGTGGGGTAGATCCTGGGCCCATTGGGTGTGGGGGGGGGGGAGGGAGGGTTAGGGGCCGATCCGGGGACTGATCCATTTCCTCCCACCCCCCCAGGAAGAAGTCCCTCTGCCGGAGGCTGCTCCTGGAGCACTCTGGCCTGCGCCTCCTGCTGGCTGCCTTGACACGTGGTGCCGACCGCCCTTCATCTTCTACGCTGTGGACTCGCTCTCCCTGCTGCTGGGTGCTGCCGCCCCCCTCCCCTGCCCCGCCCGCCCCCAAGCGCTCCCGGCTGGCAGCCTCCCCGCCGTGCCCCTACGAGCGGCTGGTGAAGGCGGGCGGGGCGGACCTGCAGTTCCGGTTGGACTCGGGCGCCCTGGTGCTGGCCTCGCGCCAGGCCGCATGCGCCGGCTCCGACGTCCTGCGGGCCATGCTGGCGGGCGGGTTTGCTGAGGCGCGCCAGGCCCTGGTGCCCATCCATGGGGTGGCGCCTGCCCCCTTTCTGGTGCTGACCCACTTCCTGCATGGCTGCCGGGGTGAGCCGTGCCCGGCCCTGGGGGGCCCGTTCCCACCCGGCGAGGGGGAGCTGGCGGAGCAGACGCTGGCGGTGGCCGAGCAGTTCCTGCTGCCCGAGCTGCAGGAGCTGGTAGAGGCGGCGTTGTGCCGGCAGTACCTGCGCCCTGGCGCCAGCCTGGACCAGCTGTACCGGCTCGGGGAGCGGCTGGGCCGGGGGCAGCTGCTGCGGCGCTGTGCCCGCTACGTCCTGCTGGGGGCGTCAGAGGAGCCCACCAGCCGAGCGGCCGCGCTGGCGCGGATCCTCCGAGTCACCAGTGACCCCAAGGGACTGGCCCAGGAGCTGCTGGCGGTTGCCATGGAGACCCCATGGGGAGTGGGCACTGATGGGACCTAGGCTAGGGGGCTGGCTGAGGGCACTGCCTGTGCCCCTCTGGATGCGGGGCTGGGCTTAGGGCACTCTCTGTACCCCTCTGGGTGTGGGGGTTTGGGAACAGAGGGGTTTGGAGGTCAGGGAGCTGTCGGGGGGGAAATGGGGTCATGGAAAGGTAAGGAATGGGGATATGGGACCCCGGTGGCGAGAGGAATCAGGGCAATGGGGACTAACCACTGCCCCCCAGGAAAGTTTGGGATCCCTTCTCTGTTGGGTGAGTTGTTCTTCCCCACCCCTCCTCCCCCCCAGGCCATGGCACAGGGTGAGAGCCTGCCTGCAGCCTCCCCCAAGGAAGGGATTGTGGTGTAGTGGGGGGGTGCCCCTACTTTTGCAGCACAGGGCACCCCAATTCCCCACCTGAGGCCATGGAGAGCAGTTTGGGGGGCCTTGACTGGAGGGGGGCTCAGTCCCTGATCTGCAGGGTACCCCTCAGTCACTGGGCAGGGTAGTGTGTGCTTTGTCTGCACAGAGAGATGCCCACACCTTTTTTTCTAGGTCCCAGGTAGGGCAGCTCTGGGGGGTGCTCAGCGGTACCCCCCCATGCTGCGGGGAGCGGTGACAGGCGGCCGGGGGCCCTCAGCGGTACCCCCCATGCTGCGGGGAGCGGTGACAGGCGGCCGGAGGTGCTCAGCAGTGACAGGCGGCCAGGGGCGCTGCTTTCTGCTGGCGAGGGGATGGGTGTGTACGAGTGGAATGTATTGAATAAGCTATTGTACGTGGAGAAATACAGGCTGGGCTTCACCATGTGCATGTGTCTGTGTGTCTTCATTCTGCGGCCTCCCCAGAGCTGGGAAGCGAACCCAGGAGTCCTGGCTCCCAGCCCCCCCGGGGCTAGTCTCCCATCTGTGCTCCTAGCTGGGGTGTGGCAGGGGCAGCAGCAGCATGTGATCCCGCCCCGGAGGGGGGAGGGGGGCTGAGCTGAGCCTGTCAGAGCTGGCTGGGGGTGGGGAGGAGGTGGTGGGTTGAGGGGGAACCAGGCTGTGGACTCCCTGCTTGGCGCTGGCTGCCCTTCCAGCTGCGCGCCCCCC